TTGTATATATCCTCACAAATCCTTGAAAGATCTGGGCAAGGTCCCATCGGTGAGCTCCTTCGGGAGGCAAGGCTGCGTTGGCTGGGTCATTTAGCCCGCATGCCCAGCCACCGCATGCCGAAACAGCTTTTGTTCGGCCGGATCGAGGGGGCTAAACGGGCGCAGCACGGGCTAGAGAAGAGATGGAGTGATGTGGAACAGGAGGACGTGGAGCTGAGTGGACTTGCCGGTGACTGGTACCAGTGGTGTCAAGATCGGCCTCTGTGGAGGAGGCTCGTGAAGGACGCTACTGGGCAGTTGGAGGCAGTCGCCCTCCAACAACAACAGAGGGTGGAGGAGCGACGCTCACAACAACGAGCGGAGCGCCGGGTGGCTAAAGCACAGCAGGTTGGCACAGTAGGGGGCACACATCAGCCAGTCATCTCAGTCATCTTAGTCAGTCGACCCGTGGCACTTGGGTCTGCCCCGTGACCTCCTGCCTGCGGGCGTTCGACACTTCACGTGGCCTCAAGGTGCACATGGCCTGGCACAAGCGTCGTAGTGACGTCACCGCCACTTAGTGGCGAATGGCGGTTGTTGCTGTATGTATGTGTAGTGACAGAATTAGCATTGTAGCAGCATAGCGCTGGCTGCTGGATGGGAAAGGGATCTGCAGCTTACAGCAGTTCTGACAGCAGCAGGCCAGGTGATACATCAGAGGGGGATCTAGGGGAAAGGTCACAGAAGGGACACACCAGCAATCCGCGGGTAAGTTCTAGAAATGAGGCGTGGCCGGGGATGTAGCCAGGCCATGCTGACAGTATAAGAGAGGCCCCGAGAGACGACCTCGGGGCTGTCGTTTGGAGTGGGATTCCCGTTATGCTACTCAAGTCTTCACCATCTCGGTGTCGCCAGTCTACCAACTGCATGCCAATAAACAGAGTGCCTCCAACTCTTAGTGTCTCTGATTCAGTCACTACGTATGTATGGCTGGCAGAGGAGGTGTTCAAGCTGGCTGAGAAAAAGCGACAGGTCCACTGTCATCGGCTACAGCATCCCACGTCAGAGAATGAGGAGGCTTACTGCAGCCTTTGCTCGGAGGTTCGGAGAGCCGTGAGGCGCTGCAAGGATGGGTGGTGGTTGCTGAGGAGATGCCGTCTGCCTCAGTGGCCCGCAATCACAAATCGCTCTTTAAATCCATCAAAAAAAATATCTGCAGCGCCACACCTATTACCATCATTAAGGGAAAGAACGGTGATCCAATCTCCAACCCCCAGGAACAGGTTTGCAGATTTGCTGAGCATTTCTGTGAGGTCCTGGGGGAGGGGAAATCTCGCAACCTGGAAAACATCATGGGACAAAGTGTGGATGACCCTGCCGAGGCTGCAGTGCTTCAAATATTAGAAGAAGTCACCCCTTGTGAGTGGCTGGCTGAGGTGCCATCTGTTGAGGAATTACTGAAGGCGTTCCAGAGTATGAGACCAGGAAAGGCACCGGGCATAGATCATCTCCCAAGTAAATGCTAAGGGAGGGTTGCGTTTGCGCACAGACTGCCCTATATGACATCATAATAACAGTCTGGACAATTGGACGAGTTCTGCAGGATTGGAAGGATGCCCTGGTGGTCCCCACCAGGGCATCCTTCTGCTTTAAGAAGGGGGACCACACAGACTGTAACAACTACAGCTGTATCTCACTCTTCATTGTGCCAGGAAAGGTCCTGGCAAGGATTATTCAACATCACCTTGCCAAGCACGCTGTGGAGAGCCTTGTGGTGCGCCAATGCTGTTTAAGGAAAGGGCAGTCCTGCACATATGGCATATTTTCTGTCCATCCGCTACAGCAGAGGTGAAGGAATTCCAACAAGACCTACATCTCTGCTTTATTGACCTGGTCAAGGCCTATGATACCATAAGTAGGCCTGGGCTTTGGGTTGTTCTTTGTGCTTTCAGAGTCCCTAACCCTCTGCTCACGATCATCAAGGACCTTCGTGATGGTGAGCGGCCCCCATTAAAACGACGTGGCCACAAGTCGGAGACATTCCCTGTTCACCTTGGGGAGCAACAGGGATGTCCTCTGGCTCCCACATTATTTAACATCTATTTCGACCACGGATATTGTGAAGGCTTCGATGGCTGTAGCGGAGGAATTTCCATCTGGTACAGATGCAATGGGGGGCTGATCGATACCCGGGTGTGGTCATGGGATGGCTCCATATTGGTCAACCATGTTACGTATGCCGATGATCTGCTAATTGCTGCTCATTCAGAGGAGGACTTGGAGGTGCTGCTGTTGAACCTGGAGCTTGACACTAAGAGGTGGGGCCTTACCATCAGCCCCACCAAAACTAAGCACCTGCCTGGGTATTTTGTACCATCGGACAGTCCATCCCCACAACTCCCAATTGATAATAGGGCAGTTGGGAGAGAGTGTGAAGTTTCCCATACCTGGGCCGTATGCTCATGACCGGCTCCAGTTTGAGAGCAGAGGTCTCACTCCAAATCAGTCAAGCGGCATTATCTTTTTATCAGTTGTGTAATGCTGTGTGGAAGCTACCTGGTCTGTCGCTCCCACGAAGCTTCAGGTAATCTAGGCCACGGTCATTCCCTCCCTTCTCTACGCTTGCGAAACATGGACCCCCCTAATAGAACATCTTTGCCGGTTAGAAACATTTAGGCTGGTCTGGCTACGATCCATCCTAGGTTTAACCAGGTAGAATTGTGTGGAGGAGATCACAAATCCTTGAAAGATCTGGACAAAGTCCCATCGGTGAGCTCCTCCGGCAGGCAAGGCTGTGTTGGCTGGGTCATGTAGCCCGAATGCCGAGCCACCGCATGCCTTAACAGTTTTTGTTCGGCCGGATCGAGGGGGCTAAACGGGCATGGCACAGGCTAGAGAAAAGATGGAGTGATTTGGTACACGAGGATGTGGAGCTGAGTGGACTTGCCGATGACTGCTACCAGCGGTGTTAAGATCGGGCTACTGGGCCAGTTGGAGGCAGTCGCCCTCCAAGAACAACAGAGGGTGGAGGAGCGACGCTCACAACTACAAGCGGAGCACCGTGTGGCTAAAGCACAGCAAGTTGGCACAGTCGAGGGCACAGGTGGTGCATCAGCCAGTCATCTAAGTCAGTCGACCCGTGGCAACTGGGTTTGTCCCGTGATATCCTGTCATCGGGCGTTCGACATTTCACATGGCCTCAACGTGCACATTGCCTGGCACAATCGTCGTGGTGATGTCATCGCCACTTGGTGGCGAATGGCGGTTGTTGTTGTATGAGTGTATGTGTGAGTGTGCATGTATGAGTGGATGTGAGTGTGGGGAGTGGTAGTGTAATGGTGAGCATGCTGAGCTACGAACCCGGTGCCCTGGGTCCGATTCCCCCTCGCGACCGACACCAGTAACGATTATCTGAAGCGGTCACGGGCCTCCGCTAGGTAGACTTAGCCTCAAATGAGTACCTGGTGTGGTGTGTAAAGATCACCACTGTGGAGACAAAGGCATCTAGGCGTGATGTTGGCCACCCACCCCCTCGTTTGCCGTTCTGGCCTTCATAGGTGCTCGCTAACAGCACTCGTCCCAACAGTCTGTGCAGGCCATACGGCAGATCTGTCTTTTTGTATGTGTATGTACGTGTGCATGTATAAATGTATGTCCACTCCTAGTCCACTCCACCAACGGCAATGGGGTGTTCTTTGAAAGGTTTATTTTGAATCACAGTCGATGAGCAATAGGCTCATCAGCCCCAAAACGCCAAGCGGCTGGCAGAAAACAGCACTGTTGAATGGATAATGGATACCACTAACTGCACTTCTTGGAATGAGAAAGGTTATGTCGTTGTAGGAATCTTGGGAAAAGAGACGATGGGCTGGAATACAAATTAGAGCAGTGTGACGCAAGATCTGCGGTGCGGTGAGTCATGTTGTGAGTGGGTGGGTGAGTGAGTGGGTGGCTGGGAGAGTGGTTGAGTTTGTTGTTTTGAATTGCAGTGGTGGTGGTGATTTAACAAAACAGATCAGAATAATAATCAGAAGTTTTATTTCCCATTGAGTAAGTCCCATAGAGATAAAGAGCCTTTGTTCAAGGGCGAATTCGTAACAGGCAACATCAAAGCATTCCACAATTACAGATTTTCAAGAAACTTAATATCAATTATATTGTGAAATTACATTCACATTTCAACTTTAGAGATTTTAATAAGAGTCAGTTTAAAGTATATAGATTGCAGAATGGAAATTCCAAGAGGCAAAACTGGGTGGGTTCCATGCACTTTGGGGCGGCAGCTACATTAAATGCCTTTGATCCAAATTGTGTGCCAAATCTAGAAACTGTTCGTCGAAAATCATTGACAATGAAGTTAACAGGAATACAAACCATGGTGATAGGAACAGTCAAGTGGTAGGGAGGCGATGTACCACTGGCGTGTGACTGATTGCAATGGATCAGTGGGTGCTGGATCATCAATCACACTGACTGCTCTAAGCTGAATGCTAAGTGCACTCTAATGATGTGGTGCAATGGTATTTCTTAAAATGTTCTTCGTAAATATTACGTCAGTACTAGTGTAGAATGGGGAGTGGGTTGACCCAAAAAGCAACCCCTCATAAAAGTCACAAGAATGGTTTTAGCCCTTAAACAATCATCATGAAGGCGATAGAAATGGTACGGCCAATATACATATATTACATAAATGGTCACGAGGGGAGGAAAATTCTACAGAAACTGTGGAGCAACCATGTTGAGACATGGGGTATTTAACCCAAGGGAGAATACTTTTTATATATTTGGGCCTAAGGACGGGCGTTAGTTGTTTACTTTAATACAGTACGTGTAATGGGAAATGTATTACTCTACAAAGACTTCATAGAAATGGGGGAAACAGGTTTAACATTATGTTAAAGTAAACACCACTACAAATAATAAAACTGTATATTTACGGTATTGGTATCGATGCGTGCTGTACTGTATACTGTACTTTCAACCATAGTCAACGAAACGTTGACTATGGTTGAAAACATTCCGATTGTGAGATGTTTATCTTCGGTGAATATTGCTACTTAGCAGAAGTGGTGTTAATCTGTTGGTATGTAGATTAAATTGGAAAGTGATTCCCATCAGCTATTATCTGGGGATAATTGCAGAAAGTAGTCGGCTTAACGTCACTGTGAAATATGCACGTTATTGGGTGTAATGGGGCTCTGTCCTATGCATGTGTTTTTGTTCTGGATAACTATTAAACTGAACTAAAAGTTATTTTAATTACCAGGTAAATCCCACTGAGCTATGTAGCTCTTTTCATAAGCAACTTGGCCATAAACGATAGCTCAATAAAGTGGATTATCACGTAGAAATTTATGCAGCCAAATACTCTAAAAGCATGTTTCTAAATGTGAATAGAAAAAAAACGGAGAACCCAGAGAAGAATCCACGCGACCATGGGGAGTCCATGCAAACTCCAAATAAACAGACGTTAGGGTCGCGATCGAACCCACGACACCCTGTATACCGGGCGAGAGAGATAGCATTATATGCACCGCGGCGCCCCTATTCATAAGAGATAGGCAATGGAAGGCCGACAGCATCATCACGGGCCATTAGGCCGTGATAGAGGGCTTCAAGAGTGCTCTCTCTTGACAGGGAGAGGGCCATCGGACTTCCTGCTAATCTTCTGGACTCCCGAAAACCCACTCCACTCCTGCCAATACGAATGCGATAGGAACTACCTACAAGTTACAGAGACAGTGCCCCAAAACATAAATCTCCAATGAAGTCGCGTCACTGCCCTTCTGTATTGATGTGCTTCTGTCGTGCATATATTGGAATCTCTCAAGGTAATACAATTGTTGCCTTGTGGTGTTCTTGATTGCTATAGTTCATGCTTGGTTTATTTATATAATGGGACCTCCTTTTGGCGTTCTCTGGTCTAACACCGTTTGAGACGAGGCTTAAAAGAAAGCTGTCTCTGGTGTGGACCAATCAGTTTCAAGGACAATGCATATATTATCGGAGTATGTTTTTTTTGCATTCTTACCACAAGCATTGTGGTAAGTGCAGACGTGATTCCTTTTAAATCGTTTCAGTTTGGTGTTTTAACATCTTAACACCTGTTGCCAGAAAAAAAAACGGAAAGCCCTATTATCATGATTTATTTATGTTTTCTGTATGAGATAAAAGGCTTTTGGTCTTGCGTGCACCCTCCTCATACATTAGACCCTCACACACCCCGTTTGACAAATTATTCCACTCCGTGACAATCGGTAGGAACTGGGTGCTACACCCACAGATATGAGAACACAATTCCGACTGCGAACAAATATTTGATTTTGTGCAGCAGCAAAAAGTGGGTTGAAGTTAAAGGATTTTGCACCAAAATAAAAACCAGGCTTCTTCAACGCCAGTCTGCTACACGAACACCTGGGCCAGCAGGAGCAACATGAGGAGCTGAGCAGACACCAACATCTTCGGAGTAGACGAATACGCATTCTGAAATATAAACACATACATTTGCACGTCATTGTCAAGGTTGGTCTGAGAGTTTTCGCAACAGCACAAGGCTCAATGAAAAATGGCAGTTGGTCTTGACAGAATTCCCCCTGAGTGCCCGAATAAGTGCAGACAACTCACCCGTTTAGCAATCAATGTCAAAGTTTTGCCTTGGGACCATAAGCAGGGGCGCAACTATGAGTTGTTGGGTATGTGGCAGCGTTATGCGACGCCAAGGGGCCCAGTCGGCCACAAGAGGGCCACGAATCAACAGATACAAAATATATTTTTACATTTTTATAAAAAAAAAATCTCACCATAATTGCCAAAAAGCATCGTTACAAATGGTAAAATAATATTTTCGAAAAATACACACAGCATAAGATCTAGTAGCGCTACTGCTGGTGTTTATTACTGCACACCACCAGGACTTTTTGATAACTGACATGCACATGAAAGCAAGAGGCACGATAACTTAATTGTGCGTATTGTAACCTTTCAATATGTTTTATTACGAACTGTTACACGGTGCAACTAAAATAATATTTAGTAATAGTCTGCATATTATTGTATACAAGATAAAAACAAATATATATCCGTAGCTATTTCAGTAAAAGTGAGTTGGGAGCAAGGAGGGGGCCAAGAGTCGGATATTGCATAGCCCCCCCCTCCCCCCCGTTGAAAAAAGTCGTTGCACCCCTGATCATAAGCTTTGTATTCATTTATACAAATGATGCTCACTATCAATGATCCCCAAAACAAATTTCCACGGAATTTGCATACGTCTGCATGTATGGTTACAATATATTTGCCAAACTTCCACACAATGAGGATAACAGATCAGGCAAAGTCGAGTACCGAAATTTGTAATTCACACATCTCAGAAGAAAGACCGCATTCTTGGAGATGTACACCCAAACAAACCAAACAAGACAACCGTCACAATCTCGGTCCTAAAGTCACACTCTCATTGCATCTATAATCCCTTTCCACATAAGTGTTCTTTGTAGTAGCGCCCTTATTTGTAGTGCTCTGGGTAGCAGTGATCTGGGTTGCATGTAAACAACAAAGGAACACAAGTGTTATTCGTAATAAATAATTTCTTACGTTTGGTGTTAGCGCCACTCTGATAGTGCAAGACTGTCACAGACATAGTCTGCAGTAGTTTAACGAAGCGTATTATTAAATAATAGACATTACATTTTGATTTAAAGAATTACTAATCTACAACTCATTACTAATCATAACCAATGACTGATTACTAATCGATTATATAATTGCAATACCCCCCCTCCGCCTCTAATCACTGCACCTGATATGAGTTAAGTGATGACGTCACCCTGCTGCTCTATATAAAACCGGGAGCAAGCGAGGGCTTTACCATTCTGGCGAATTGCCCGATGATGCTGGATGTATTTACCAGCGAAACGTCGTACTCAAACTGTAAATGTGGATTCGCTCTTCAACACACCGGTGGGCTAAAGTAGTGAATTATTTGTCTTTTGTCAACGTGACACTTTTTTGCTGATTGGCCGTGTCGGGTGGTGGAGGGTTACGACACATTTATAAATAAACGCGATCTAACCCAAAAACCGTTATTATGAATAGTCTGCAGTAGTTTCACAGTATGAAGGTGGGTGATGATTGCTGCTGCTGTGTGAAAATCCCAATTGAGTATATTTGTATCAATGTTTTTAAATGTTGATCATAATGCCAGCACACAATGGGCTACTATTTTAGAATGATGTCACGTGATATTTAACGTCCACTGTGAAGAAGACGGTGGTGTGTATTAAAAAGGACAGCCAGCAGGATTCGAATTTTTAACATCTGCAACACGGCGAACTGCTGGGCCATGTCACCGCTCTTTATAATAATAACAATATCACACTCAATAATAATAATAGGGTTTTTCCCCTTTTTTCTGGTGACAAAACTTAAACCTTTTGCAAGGAATCATGTTTACGTTAACCACAATACTTGCAGTCAGAATGAAAACAAAAAACAACACTGAGGCACTGCCTTATCTGACACTTACTTCACCAGGAATGCTACATTCTACAAACAAAATGAGGGTACCCCAATGGGTTCTCCCTTATCGCCAGTGGTAGCGAATGTTTTCATGGATACATTTGAGACAGATGCCATCCAAACATCCACCCTACGACCCTCCTTGTGGAAGAGATACGTAGAACCAACACATACTGAACCAATTTTTCAACCACATCAATTCCATACACCCATCTATCAAATTCGCCATGGAAGTGGAAAATAATGGCATGCTACCATTCCTGGATGTTTTGACCAAGAAGAGACCTGATGGCTCGTTGGGACACTCTGTCTACAGGAAAGCCACCCACACGGATGCCTATCTAAAGCCTGACTCCCACCACCATTCAGCCTAGAAAAATTCCATCATCAAAAACTACACTATAGTGCCCATTGCATCTCCAACCAGCACCACCTATCCAGTGAACTTTAGCACGTACGCCAATCCCTCAAGATGAATGGATATTAGGACCGCACAATTCGCAAATCTGTATCCCCAACCATGGGTAGAGAACCATCTGAGGACCCAATCAAAACCATCATCTTGCAATACATAACAGGGGTTACCAAAAATATTTCCAAAATCTTGAACAAACACAAGATCCAGGTTCGATTCAACACAGTACACAAAATCCGTGACCTGATCCCATCTGTGAAAAATGTTATTCCTGATATGCAATACCCTGGTGTCTACAAAGTAAGTTGTGTGTGTGGTAGCAGTTGTATTTGGGAAACAAAACGACATGTCTCGGACCGTCTTCGCGAACACAAGGCAGATTTGAAACACGGCAGAACCAATAACTCTGCCGTGGCTGATCACTGCTTGAACGCGGTGGGCTTACACAACATTGTTTTTTTCCGAGACCAAGCTACTCTGCAAACCTTCGGGCTACCATCAAAGATTTGTTCATGAAGCCAAAAAAGTTATATACACACAGACGTAACTTCAACTGAGAAGATGGGTACAAATTGAGCAATCATTGGAAGGACGTTATCAACCAGGTAAAGCCTTAACTGGTTGTTGGTGTTTCCAGCCTACCTGCCATTGTCAGCAGTTATTTCCGACTCTCTGAGTTACATTACCAAGTTACATTTCTTTACATTGACGGGCTAAATGTCTTACTAACAAAGCAAACTCTGCCCCCTTTCCCTCGATGTGGCAGTGGCTCTCGTTTTTTTGCAGACTACAACTGGCTGTGATGTTGTTGTGTGTGTGTGGCTCTCTGTGTGTGTCTCTCGGTTTGTGTGTGTTTCTCTCTCTATGTGCGTCTCCCTGTATGTTTCTCTCTCTCTCTTTGTGTGTATCTGTCTCTCTCTCTCTCTGTCACTTTGTGTGTGTCTCTCTCTGTGTGTGGGTGTCTTTCTGTGTGTCTCTATCTCTGGGTGTGTCCCTCTGTGTGTGTCTCTGTGTGTGTGCGTGTCTCTCTCTGTGTGTCTCTTGGTGTGTGTGTCTCTCTCTGTCTTTGTGTGTGTTTCTCTATATGTGTCTCTCTGTGTGTGTCTCTCTCTCTGTGCGGGTGTGCCTCTCGGCTTGTGTCTCGCTGTCCTTCCCTCGATGTGGTGCTGTCCCTCGTTATTTCCCTCGTTTTCCAGTGAGCTGGATGTCTCACTAGCACAGCCACCTTTGCGTTGTTTCGTTAACATTGACATGCTAATCTCTCACAATACAATGACCACCTCCTCAGCTCTCCGTCGTCGTGGAGGTGCTTCAACCACACCCCCCTTTCATCTGGGTTCCCATCTTTGGATTTCCCACTCGCTTAGGCACAATCTCTAGCCCCCAGCCTCCTGCCTGTTGCGGGAACCCTCCCCCCCCCTCGGCACTATATATAAGGACTTGTTTCAGCAGCTTGTTTCTCTCTCCCACCTGAAGACGATTGCTTGTGTGGCGATCAAAACGTCGTGATCTATTATTTTTTCTACCTACGTGACTTTACCGAAAGAACCAAAAAGTATAGTTACAAGATTGTTGCACATATATAATGTCTAAAGCAATGCACATACAGGTTTTACCTTTTAACTGATAAATGTGGGGGTCTGCAAGAATGGTGAGTGCATTCGACTTGTGATCCAGAGGTCGTCCGTTTGATTTGAAACATTGGCGATACGTTTATTAAATCTGCAATAACCCCCTGCACACCAAAGTGCGTCGATGATCGGCAGGACACGTGCCGTGGAGGAAGTGTGAGTTAGTTCACATTTTCCAAAACGTTTGGTCAATGTGGAAGAATAGACCAAATACCACTGAGAGTTCCTTCGAGTGTAAACTCACCCACAAGCGAACTATTCCAGGGTTGCACCTTTACATTTTAATCGAGAAACCAGGGCCAATAATGTGCCACACAGTGACTTTGGCTGCCCTTCCGTTTGTACATTTGCATGCATGCCACTCAGCACATCCCGGAACAAAATCCCACTCGAAGCGGTTACCGGCTCCTGACAATAGCAATTCGAAATAAATTCGGAAAATGATTACAGGTTAAATTTTTGTTGCCTCTGTGGTAGTAGTTACATTGGAGAAACCAAACGACATGTCTCGGACTGTATCCGTGAACACAAAGCAGACCTAAAACACGGTAGGACCAAGATCTCAGCCATGGCAGATCACTGTTATAATTCAGTGGGCTCACATGATATTGACTTCTCCAAGACAGAGGTTCTCTGCAAGCCATCTGGCTACCATGAGAGCTTCACATATCCACATATACAAACACAGAGACAATTTCAACCAAGAATATGGATTCTGGCTTAGCAATCATTGTAAGGATTTGATAAACCATTTCGGGTCTTAATTTATTGTGTTCACGCTTACGGTGAATTTCAGATCGCATTCCATTATATTCCTATCTCCCCCTTACTCTTTTCCGAACATAGATGGACTCGTCCATCTGAACAACTGCCAAATCGCTGTCCGTGGTGCTAACATTAAGGAAAAAAACACCACTTTTTTCAAATTTTCTTGCTCTGGTTTTCACACCTGATGATGATTGCTTGTGTTGCAGTCGAAACGTCGTGATAATTTTATATTTGCATTATTTTATTGTTTCCCTTCTACGTGACTTTACCGAAAGAACCAAGAATATGATTACAGGTTTATCAACAATCGTTTACCAGTCCTCACGCCTATTAACCAACTTCTCAATGCTTGCGCAGAAATGTTGTCGTCATGGGTGGTGACATGGCCCAGCGGTAAAGTGGTTACTGCTAGTTGCAAAGGTTTACAGTTCGGCCCTGGATGGCCACCCTGGTTAACGACTGCACGTGTATCACCCGATCACAGGCCAGGTTCTGAGTGACCTTGTGCCGCACAGGGAAAGTTGTCACTATGGGTGCCCTTTCAAATATGTTGATATGAACAGTGATGTAAGTTGCTTGTGGTGTTTAAAGTTATCTGAGAAGTCCCAATAAGATACATAAGATGTGAACCTTATCAAACACACGGCTCGCTCCCACCGTCATAACGATCCACGCACCGTTGTGGAGAACTGCATCCTGGTGATGGATGAAATCCACGTGCTGTATTCGGACACGCGCGTGAACACGCTGGGCTTGTTGGTCATGTTGCAGCTCTCCCTAGACACGAAGCTCGAGATGCCGTGAACAACCCACCCTCCACTCGTGTTGCAGTTCAGTGGACCACCCGAGTCGCCCTGCATAAAATGACAATACTATCAATAGCAGCGAGCAACGCACTCTGCAAACTGCATTGTCGAATGTAATACAAATTCGATTTTTGTAGCGTCTACTAAATGTGACCGTGACGCTGTACAAAAACAGTTGGCATATATACTTAATAAGTAATATTTAAAAATACTTTTTTAAACACGCTTTAATGAAATGTACCGTACTCGTAATGGAACAACTCCACGACTCCAGGAAGTGGCCCCGAAGCTTGCCATAACGTAAGGGACTGTGGTCATTTACAGCCAACGTCAGTTTACCGTGGACAATTAGAGCCAAGCGGAAAAAATAACATAAAAAAGAATGTTTCAAAATATATGTTTTTAAAAAATGTTTTATGATAGAATATAGTATTGTCATCAGTATGACGTAAGTATACCAAGTTTTCAGTCGATACCACATTGGGAAGTGGGTTAAAATTGAGTTACAAGATTTGAGGATATGACAACAACAACAGAGTGAGTTAATAAAAAAGCGCGTAAAAAAATGGAGGCAGACAGTGATAGGCAGTGGAGGAAATGGCAGGGCTCGGGCCTGGACATGAATACGGTGTCTGTACAGTGGGTGCCTGGCCACGAATGAGTATAAGAAGGGTGACCCAACAGAGCTGGGGGAGTTCTCTCCCTACACGAAGACCGAAGACTGGGCTGAAGACTAGCTAGGACCCTGGACCAGCCTTCCAGCCCTTTTGAGGGCTAAGGCTCGGCATACCCAGTGGTCAGGACCCACCGGGCCAGCGGTGGGTCAGATAGCCTATCCTAGGTCCCAGCCGGAGGACTCTAGGCTAGGATAGCGGTAGACGTGTAAGTCCCACAAAGCTAGGAGGTTAGCGGTAGACGTGCAAGTCCCGCCAAGCTAGGAGGCTGTACCTCCCTAGGGTATCGGGTGAGGGGACCGTATACCCCTCTGTGTGTTAAGGATTGTATAAGGAAAGAGTTACAATAAACAGTGTGCCTCGTCTTAATAAACACAGCATATGTATGTTGAACTTCTTTCGCACAGTATGTAGCCAACCGTGCTTATTCGAGTTAAACCACTGTTACCGTATATCATAATTGAAACTGCCAACAAAAGTCATAACCTTACATTTGAAAACAGGCACCCACTGTACAGACACCGTATTCATGTCCAGGCCCGAGCCCTGCCATTTCCTCCTCTGCCTATCACTGTCTGCCTCCATTTTTTTATGTACACCCAGCTTGATGAACTATGATCGAACATGTAGGTATGGCTTTATTGACCCCAGTGCTGTACCTGATACACCGAACCTTGACCTTACCCATCTGATCAGTATTTAATGGTCGATGGTGATGAAGGTGACTGAAAGATTGAGGCCATCGAATGCTGTGCACACCGATCATCCATAATCTTGTAGAGGTCATCAATGATCTTTAGTAAACCCATGTCAGTGCTGTGGAACTTCTGATATACTGACTAGAATGGGTTGCATCTGCCCATCGCAGCGACGTGGGGAAGTAACCACTTCTGACAAAGGTGCTCTTTGACCTTTGAAATCGTACTAAGATATACATTCGTGTGATAGTTTTTGGGGTCACTACAGCTGAAGCCAATGGTGTTACCTGTGCCACTTTGAACCGGTCTGGGTAAGTGCCCTCGCTGAATCGACGTGTGGATGTAGTCGAGTGGTGATGTTTTTTTGGCAGCCGTGCAATGAACATCGACAGCTCTATCACCGGTATTGGTGCCAGGGTCTCGAGTTTTGCATTGATTCCAGGTTGATCAGACTCAGATGCCATCTTGATCATCACTATTTTATTGGCAACGAACATCGCAAGTACTGTGCACAGACCAAGTTGATTAGTTGCGACCCCTGTGCCACAGAGAACAGAGGTCGCAAGCAGACTCATTGGATCAGTTAGCAGATCTGCAGGCGGCTCTGTAAATGAGTTGAACAGTCTCGAAACCAGTTTTCTTCCAAAGATGCTCTAGCCTCCTTCGGGTCTTGTGAGAAGTAGGAGAGTGCGTGGAGGGGAGTAAATTGAGATGACAGGGGAGAGGTAGAACAGTGTATGGGTGAGAGTAGAATGAGAAAGAGGGGAGAAGTAGGAGAGTACATGTAGGAGAGGAGAATGAGATGATAGGGAAAAGCTAGGAGAATGGTGGAGGTGTGTATATTGAGATAAAAAGAAGAGATACGTAGGGCAGTAGAGGTTGCTGAAGAGGAGTGTTATTTTTCGATTTAAAGCTTTCGTGACTGCAGGGATTCATCTTCTTGGTTCTTTCAGTAAAGTCACGTAGAATGGAAAAAAATAATAATAAAAATAAAACATAATAAAATAGAATATGTTTTATTTTTATTATTTTATTTCCATTCTACGTGACTTTACCGAAAGAACCAAGAAGAGGAGTGTTATTTTTAAATTGTGAAATGATGTATGTGTATCGTACTGCCATCTTTTGAGTAAAATAATAAGTGTCCTCGTGTGCTTGCATTTGCATGCGAGCCATCGCATGGTACAAGGCTCTAATACTGCAGAGATTGCATTGCCGATAGACTCACTTCGCAGACGGCGTGAAGGCTGTCCCCCGCACAAATCATGCTGGGCTTAACCTTGGCTCCCCACCACCCGGTGCTGCTGCACGTAGTGTAGTTGACGACTGGAAGCCGCACTTGCTGCAGAGTGTTGGAGGCTGGGCCTGAAACTGACGACACATGACCAAAACGACAAACTCAAAACGATAATTAACTTCGTTATGAAAAGCCCGTCATCATAATTATCATCATAGTTAGGCTTCATCAGTCCATTATTGATCTCCATTTAATGGTGGTACTGTACGCTCTTCAGCAGGGTAGCATAATGTTAATCCAGTGCTCCATAGCAAGAGTGCTTGGGTTCGATTACCAACTCGAGTGTGATTTCTGTGTGGACTGTGTATGTTTGTCCCCTTTTCTGCATGGAGTTCCTCCGTATTCTTTCATTTCGTTAAATATCCAAATACAAACATACGCATACAATGTAACTGGCATTGGCCAAAACATCCAAAAGCTGGAAAAATAATTGCAAATTAATGTTAAAACCGGCCTAAGATTCAAATAGAATGAGGTCGGCAATGTGTGTTGATCAATTGCCGGCAAAAAGAAAAAAATATTGCCAAAAATCAAATGCTACTTTCAATTTTTGCAGTCACAACATTTACCATACTTGTATATGCTTACGATCTGATCATCCTTAAAGTCCTGTGATATATTTTGAGTGTCCCATATGGGATTTAAAAGTCAGCGAAGATTATATATTCAGGGTTGCCTTAGATACTTTGTGGATATAAGGTAAGATTCCATCTAGATTAGGCACCTCTTGAGGTTGTGTATGATGGATGCCTTTTTTCCAGTGGTGGGTCGTGTATTTTACACCTAGGCCTTCAGTGCTTTCCTCCCACAATTAAACCGCCTTCGAATAACCTCACCGTGACACTAGGGCTATAGGCTATTGTCATTCGATGCAACCACCCCATATTCACAGTGACAGTAACCTTTTTCGAGTGGAATACAGTGATTTAACACGAGGCTTAACACCTATGAGCGTTACAATACACTAATTGCAGAGACATTAATACATGGTGAATGAAACCATCAAGGATGTACCACTATTACGCAGTAGAACAGGATGCCGCATCACAAATAGACATCACATAGCCCAAATCAATGTCATTACCAAAGAAACAAGAACAAACTCACAACAACCAGTCACATTTACTCACACGACCACCAAGCAAGGAAAAATGCCGCAAAACACAACACAATCAGGATTCAACAGGTTTCCCCACATATTCCAGCCAAGCTGCTGGGCCTAAACGCACATGCCACCACACACACTCAAAAGCACAGTCAGGCCACTGAATCTGAACATCATTCACACAAGCAGCGACGATCTAAAGCAAGTCATAATAATAGCTAGTAACAGGCCCGGCACCACGATGAAGTCTGTCTAGCAATCTCCTCAGCTCCGTTTCAGTACTATTGACAGACAAACAGCACTGTCTATGGTTCTGAAACAACAGCTAAGCGATAGTCACATGTATCTCGGCCAATAATTTAGTTGTCTTTGCTATTTTTCTATAGAAACATGAAGCTTAAACAGAGGGGGCAAAAATACAACTAAATACAGAAATACTAAGCCCCCTTAAGACCCCTCGTGTCGCCGGGGCGGCTAGTAAAGATATATAAAAATCCATTAAACTTAACAAAGCTGCGCATCATTTGAAGACAAAGTCGATCCTCCTTTATTTATAAAGAGTTTAATGACACGGTTGTACAGTACATCGGTGCGTTTCAGTTCCAATAAAATGTCCTTCTCGATTGCCATGGAGGCCAGTGCTGACAGTCGAGCCTTCTCAGTCTTTTTTCTTGAATACTTTGAATGATAGTCTTGGTTCTTTCGGTAAAGTCACGTAGAAGGGAAACAATAAAATAATAAAAATATAAAACAATACAATTATCACGTTTCGACTGCAACACAAGAAATCATCATCAGGTGTGAACACCACAGCAATTTTTTTTTCAAATGTTCTCGCTGTGGTTTTCACACCTGATGATGATTGCTTGTGTTGCAGTCGAAACGTCGTGATAATTTAATTGTTTTTATATTTGTATTATTTTATTGTTTCCCTTCTACGTGACTTTACCGAAAGAACCAAGAATATGAATCCCTGCAGTCACGAAAGCTTTAAATCAAAATACTTGGAATGATTTAAAGCTTTCGTGACTGCAGGGATTCATCTTCTTGGTTCTTTCGGTAAAGTCACGTAGAAGGAAAATAATAAAATAATACAAATAAAACATAATAAAATAAAATTCTCAGGACGTTTCGGCCACAACACAAGCAGCCGTCTCAGGTGAAGAAACAGAGCTTGGAACGATGTCTTTCTGACAGCTGTGTTTCTTCACCTGAGGACGGCTGCTTGTGTTGTGGCCGAAACGTCCTGAGAATTTAATTGTATTATGTTTTATTTTTATTATTTTATTATTTCTCTTCTATGTGACTTTACCGAAAGAACCAAGAAGACGTTTGAATGAGTTTTAGGGCTGAAAATGTCCGCTCGACAGAGGCAGTAGATACTGGGATGGTCACCACCAACCATGTCCATGCGTAAAGTTGACGCATGCTCCCACATAGATCTTTCTGCTGAAGGAAAGCGAGGAGGTCAGCAGGGCTTTGTCCTTCAAAATCAGTCATGGCATACATTACAGCCAGTTTTGTTTAAGCCGGGGCAGGTCTAAGAGAGTTCTGTGGCTCTGCATTAAGCTGGAGAAGGCCGCATCTACGATTTTTTTCCAGTATGTCTGAAACTGCTGAGGATCGAGGAGGGAGAGAAACATGACTTTCTCGTGGTCTTTAAACCGTTTCCGTATCTGGGCAAGGATGTTGTCCAAAATGTTGCTGTGGAGTTTTGGTACCTTGCGCGGATTTGCCCCTATGCTTGGCCTCTCCGTGTGCTTGGCACACCTGTTTCGCGCACAGTAGATTAATACATTTCACCATATTGCCCTTCCTCCCTCTCAATGGTGTCACAAAACTCGTCCACTCTAGCTAGACAACATTGTACAGAGTGTTTTGTTCTGCAGTATCCAAAAAGCACATCCGAATACTCAAAAATTATATGAAAAGTGGAAAGCAAAAAACAAAACTCAAAATCATCCAGATGTGCATTGTATCCATTAGCACAGCGCACAGAATCCTCGTTGTACTTATCACGGCATTCTAATATGTGCTCAAATAGGTCCTTTCGGCAACTCTTTTCTCAAAGACTGTGCTGACCAATCCAGAACTATATTGCCACCTTGTTGGTGCCACACGAGGAAGATGCCGCTGGCAGATATCGTCAAGCAGCTGCGTGCGCTTAGGGGATCTGCAAAAAACGCAGCTCGGCCATTGAGATGTGCAAAAAAGATTCTACATTCTGTAAGCTTTGATGCCCATTGAGTCAGTACTAAATGAAGTCGATGTGCATAGAAATGTATAAATAAAGCCATAGAAGCCCTCACCTTAACTTTAGCCTGCACCCCATTTAGTCCGGATGCCATGACGGCACAAAGCATTGTGCCACAACTTTATCCAGGCATTCGTGTTCCTCCAGGAATCAAATAATGAGAGCATCAATGTCATCAACCCACTTGCCACTCATAACATCGTCAAATCTGTCAAACCTCTCCTTGACACCAGTGTCTGTCACATAACGCAGCACCAGTGTCAGCTGGGCTGCAGTACTCACATCTGTAGATCATCCACCATAACTGTGACAAAAGGTGCGTTATTTATCTCACTTTTAATCTCCTCTCCCATCACTTCAGCTATAGCACTAATCATGTCGTTTTGTATTTTACCTAAAGTGCCAGTAAACACTTTGCTTAGTGGAAAGGTGGTAATGCAAGTCTTTGTCGTGTTCAGCCAGAAAGGTAATAAGCTCGACATAGTTACCCTTATTTGTGGACTCCTTGCTTTCATTGTGTCCCCTAAATGAGAGCTCTTGTTTACGAAGAAAGATGACACAATCGATCAGTCTTTTCAGTATTTCACTATTTTTCTTGACCTTTTCGTTGTGGAGCTCCATTTCCCTTCGTTTCCCTTCACATTTGTTCGTTGAGTTGTAGATCTACTCGGGTGTCTCCGAACATTTTCAAGAGCAGCGTTGCTTGCAGCAGCCCTGTCTGCCAGCAGGTCACGTGATAAGTCAGATAGAGGGATGTAGGGGAAAGGTGATAGAGGGGGCACGTGAAACCCGCGAGTAGGTTCTAGAAGGGGGGCATGGCCGGGACTCAGCGAGGCCACGCTGGGAGGATAAAAGGGGACCCCGAGCCAAGGCTCGGGGCTGTATACTTGGAGTGAGGTCCCATCATGCTGCTGGAGTCTTCGTCGCCATCCACGTTTTCACCTTCTCGGCGTCGTCAATCAGGCCATTCTGCCAACTGTTCTGACTGAGAGATGTAGTTACCTCTTGTAACCTATGAAGGCTGATAATAAAGAGCGTGCCTCCTACTCCTAGTGTCTCTGAGTGCGTCACTACACATGTGTAGTGGTCATTCCACATGATCCATGGGACAAGAGAACAGGGTGGAGCTTACTCACCAAAGACAGAGAAGCACCTGTCAATCAAGAAGGGTGGAGCAAATGCTTCACGCTCTACTTGGTTAGGGCACGGGAAGAAAGAGGATTGGCTGGGAAAAGTTGGGTGAGTGATGCGGGGGGAGACTCGGACAGGAGAGGGGAAAGAGTGAGCCGTAGCTGATCACTGCTACAACGCTGTGGGTGATCACGATATAATTTTCTCCGATACCAAGGTTCTTTGCAAACCCACGGGTTTTTATCAGAGATTTGTTCACGAGGCAATTCAGATCTACAAACACAGACACAATTTCAACCGACAAGATGGTTTCAAATTAAGCAACCATTGGAAAGATGTTCTAAATCGAACCAAACATTAAACTAATTTTCAAAGGTACAGTATATTTTTCAAGTAGTGGTACCCCAAACTTTCGCAGCTTCTTAAAATCCCCTTTTCACACCACCAGCATGTGGATGCTACCTTGCCCCCTCGCCAGCCTGCACAGGTCGACCCCCTCCCTACCTTTCATCATGCTAAGTCCGCCTATCAAATGCAATTTTTCATGCTAATTCCTTTGTCAAGGCACCTTAATTACTCTCACA